GGCAACAGACATGAAGAGAAATCTCACAGAGGAAGACATAGACATGGCCAACATGCACATGAGAAAATGCTCTGCATCACTTGCCATCAGGGAAATACAAATCAAAACCACAAGGAGATACCACCTCACACCAGTGAGAACGGGGAAAATTAACAAGGCAGGAAACAACAAATGTTGGAGAGGATGCGGAGAAAAGGGAACCCTCTCACACTGTTGGTGGGAATGTGAACTGGTGCAGCCACTCTGGAAAACTGTGTGGAGGTTCCTCAAAGAGTTAAAAATAGACCTGCCCTACGACCCAGCAATTGCACTGTTGGGGATTTACCCCAAAGATTCAGATGCAATGAAACGCCGGGACACCAGCACCCCAATGTTTCTAGCAGCAATGTCCACAATAGCCAAACTGTGGAAGGAGCCTTGGTGTCCATCGAAAGATGAATGGATAAAGAAGATGTGGTTTATGTATACAATGGAATATTACTCAGCCATTAGAAACGACAAATACCCACCATTTGCTTCAACGTGGATGGAACTGGAGGGTATTATGCTGAGTGAAGTAAGTCAATCGGAGAAGGACAGTGTATGTTCTCATTCATTTGGGGAATAAATAATACTGAAAGGGACTATAAGGGAAGGGAGAAGAAATGTGTGGGAAATATCAGAAAGGGAGACAGAACATGAAGACTCCTAACTCTGGGAAATGAACTAGGGGTAGTGGAAGGGGAGGAGGGTGGGGGTGGGGGTGAATGGGTGACGGGCACTGAGAGGGGCACTTGATGGGAAGATCACTGGGTGTTATTCTGTATGTTGGTAAATTGAACACCAATAAAAAATAAATTTATTAAAAATAAATAAATAAATAAATAAAAAGGAGGATTCACCAAGCCTCTTGCTTCCTGGTAGGTGTTCTATTGGAGGTGGGAGTGGCCTTCAGGGTGTCAGGGGGGTGGGGTGTCTCTCTGGGGAAGGATGGAGGGAGGTGACAGGATTCTAGGGAGGGGTGAGTGCTTCCGCAGACATAATGGATGTGTTAGTACAGAGGTGAGGAAGAGAGATTATTCAGTCCATGACCTGGAACTCCGTACTTGCCATGTGCCAGGCAATGTGCCTTTTTAGGGCCTAGGAACAAAGAGTTATATTTCTTTTTTCTCTTTGTAGTTCTAACAAGACTTTCTCTTTTTCCCCCACTCTCTCCTAATTCATGAGTCAGGTCTTGTTAGCGTCTGTGGATTGCTCTAGTATGAGGTACCTCATGTCAAGCTGAGGTTTCCGTAGAAACAAATAGAGACCTTGCTTTCTGAGTCTTGCAGAGAGTATTTCTGGCAATTTATCAGGAATGGCAGTATGTTCTTTTGGGCAAGGTATTTGCACTCCTTGGAGGAAAAACATGATAAACAAAACATTATCCTAGAACAGAGCTCTTCTGTTTTAGTTTTTATTTTTTTTCCTTCTCCACCATGTCTGGCTCTGCCAACCCACCTCCAAATGCTTCCTGAGCATTTCTGGCTGTGATATGTTGGACTCCAGCTGTTCTCCATCCAGTTCTGGTGCTGTCTAGCCTCCTCCAGACATGGTCCAGAGGGGATCTGAGAAGGGAGAGGAAGGGAAGGTGTGAAGAAAAGAGCAAGATTAAGGGCATTCATTGCAACAGATCGGGGGGCTGGGGAGCAGCAGGCTCTGATAAAGCTTTTGATTGTGCTCTTGAAATTTTTGGTAGCTTGTGATCAACTCGTAATTACATATATGCTACAAAACCTTGGGAAGCTTGAATTTTGATCACAATATTTAGGCAGTGGTGATGACTGTGATTGGAGAATAACCAGATTTTAGAAGTAAAAGGAAGATCAAAAGATAATCAAAATTCCATAAAGGACATGTCAGAAGGGCTTAAAGAGAGGATATTTAATTAGGCTTGGGATCAGTAATGGAATTAGGAGGAGTCTTTAATAAGAACAAGTCTGAAGTCAGCAGATATTCCAAACTGCGTTGGCCTTTATGCTCACCCCATTGTCCCTGTGGACAGGCTTTGAACAGCCCACAGTTTGTTATCTATTGGTGGTGCCATATGGCGATAATCCACAGCCTCTTATTTTAGAGCACACTTAGAGGGTCCATTTGTGATGCAAACAGAGCTAGATAGTGCTGGGATTCCTTCCCATCCCTTTATTTAATGTGTGGGGTTCATATAAGCTTACTCTTTTATCAAAATCTCTAATGTGTGGCTGCTGGACATCGTGAAGGCCATATCCAAATCTGAGTGATGCCTTCAGCATAGGATGCATAGGAAATCTGCCTGTGGATTTTTTTCTAGAACTAATGGGTGACTTCTGCAGGTTGCCAGTGGTTCCTGGTAGGTTATTATCATGTCACAAGACTCCCTAGGACCAATGTGTCTTAATCAATGGTAAGGCTTGCTTGTCTTGGCTCCCTCCACCCACCTTGTCTACTGATGACCCTGCTCTGTATTGTGGGATGTGCATCATTTGGAGGATGTGAGGCGTTAAACTTGGAAGAGATTTTAAAAGAGGATGCAATGTGGAAACGTAACATAAGTATCATCATTTGTAAAAATGGTGTTTTACATCTAGGGTTGAAATGTCCCACTGCCTGCAGCTGTATTTACAGAGGGTCCTGCATGATCAATGAAACTACCCAAGAGTTTGGGAAGCAAACAGTTCTTTATCCTTCTTAGGTTATCCCAGTGCCCTCTGGAACCACAGCTAGTGCAAAGTCTGCACAATACTGATGGTGCAACAAAAAATGACATTTAAGAAAGAAGGGATACCTTTATTTGCATACTGTTTCCCAAGAGAATGGTGGGTGGTTTTAAGACAGGTGGTTTTAAGAATAAGACTGCTTATTCTTTGAGAGTCTTACCATGGCGATGGGTTTACGTCCCCTGCCTTGAATCTGGGTGGGCTTCCGAATGCTTCAACCAAGAAGCTATGATAGAAGACCGTCTGAGTGACTTCTGAGGCTAGGTCACGATGGCCATGAAGCTCCTGCTTCATTCTCTAGATCATTCACTCTTGTGGCCCTAAGCCACCATGTAATGACATCAGCTACTCTTAGGTGGCTATGATGGAAAGGTCACAGGTAGGTGCTCTGTTTGAGCCAACCTTCCAGACCTATGAGTGAGGAAGTCTTCAGATGATAACCATCCTGGATGTTTCAATCAATCCCACCCTTTCAAGTCTTCCCAGCAGGGCCCCAGACATTATGGAGCCAAGACTGTTTTTCCTCATCCAAAGACCTCACCCGCAGACTCTGAGAGCAGAGTAAAAAGTTCATGGTCTTATCCCGCTGAGTTTACAGTAGGTTGTTGGTGTGCCACAGTGAACGACTAGAATAGCAGGTTAAGTTGGAATTCGCTCAACATCACCAGCCGTACTCTGCACAATTCCTTATTCTACGTTTGGGAGAATAAGGCAAAGCAAAGTATTCCCATTCACTGGGAGTAGGGGTGGAGTAAATAAATGCTTAATTATGACTAAGCATGCCTTCACTCAGAGGCAACCATGTTGGGGAGGGCTCAGTTAGGGGTAGTATCCCCGGGGAATTACCAAGCTGGGGACTAGTCATGAAGACAGAAACAGTTGGGGACTAGTCACAAGGACTGGAGCTGGCCTCTCCCCTGGAGAACCATGTACCTATAACATGGCTTCCCTGTTAAGCTATTCCTTGTGTCGCTTACTTTGGCAGAGGTAGTTGGTGTATTAGTCAGTGTCTGAAAGGAAAAAAAACAGATTTTACAAAGGAGGCTTAAATTGGTTATGAAGTTGTAACCATTATCTGTCACCACAGTAATACTGGACCCCATGCTCTCCCACTAATAATACCTGGTGGCTTAATAGAGAAGCATAACAAGTCTAGGCCTAGGGACACAAGAGAGAAATAGTGAGGACACCACAACTGTCCTAGGAGCTTGGAGAGGGGTCCCTGCAACACTGGTACTTGAGCTGCTCAGGGGGTCGCAGACTTTCGGTGGGGCACCCCGTTCCAGCCACCAAGAGGGAGTGGTTGCTAATGGCACCACTGAAAGTGGCAAAAGCGGGAAGACTCTCTTCTTCCCTCCAACTCCCTTATAATCTCTTACCACTGCCTACCCTTAGCCAAAGCTCCGAGGAAGATAGTAGGCAAGGGATCCTGGGAAGTGTAGTTTTTAGACTCCCAGCTCTAGCGTCGCAGAACGGTTGAGGGATGGTCTTAGAGATGAGAAACAGAAGGAACCTAACTGATGCTGTTGGAAATTTTAATCCCTGGGATCTTCAAGAAAATCCTCCAAGATACCGTCCACATATCACAATAAATAAGGATTTTTTTTGGTTGAAAATTAAAAGAATATGAACCCAAACTAACTTAAGCAAAAGGTAAATTTTAATTTAAGTGAAGAGCCTTCAAATGGCTAAGTTTAGGCAAAGGATCACACATTGTCATCAGGGTCTGATCTCCTACCATCTCCATTCTGCTTTTCTTTATTTTTCATTCTCTGGCAGGATCTCATAATATGGCAGCAAGATTCCTCCCAGGAGTTTTAGTGTGGTCATGATACAGCTACAAGAATGATGGAAATATGGATCTTTCTTTCTCTTTCACTTACTTCACTCAACATCCAAAACTACTCTTCTTCTCTTCTTCTTCTTCCTCTTTTTTTTTTTTTTTTTTTTTTTTTTTGGTGAGGACATCAGATTTCCTCAAGGCTCCGTGGACAGCATCACATGACAATGGTCTGGTTGCTCGGTACACACAAGGTGGTCTCCACCCACAGCTGGTTAGTCCAGGGGTGGTTTGGTGCAGTCTCCTGCCTTGTGGCCTGTATTCAGCTGGATTCTTGCCTCCTGGGCAGCTGAGGGAGGGGGCTCCTGGGGGTTGGCCCCAGGCCTAGAAAGAAGGAAGCAGGGGAGTCTGGGGCAGGCTAGGGTCCAGGAGGGAGTCTCCTGCCCTCACTGGAGAGATGGCAGCCTGAGCGACTGTGTCACCACCCACATCTGGCTGGTCTCTCAGATCTCGCCAGCTGGGGGCATCTCATCCAGGACTGTGTGAACTTCATAGAAGGTGACATTGTGGAGATACTCATTTAAGATTTCCACAAAGTAGTGGATGGCCTCCAGGTTGGCCAGATTGCTGTCACTGATGCCCATGTACATGCAGACACAGGTCAGCTCTGATTGGTTCTAACATGTCATGGTCAGAGTGTGCGAGGGTTAACCACAACCTTTGGCTTGGGTTCAAGGACTGGCAGAAATGTGAACTCGGGCTCAGTTCAAGTAGACTTTGCTTTACCTTCAAAGTATGGAGTGAGCAGGACAAAAATCACACATACAGATAAGAACAGGTGTGAGTGTGTGGGTGAGGTTCCCGTGTTCCTCACAGACAGGCCCGATGGAGGAGATGTTCACTAGTCAGAGGACCACGTGCCTTTTACTCACCCAGTCACTTCAGTCCCAGAAGCAACTTCTACTGTGATGCGGGGCAAGAATTCTGTTACTCGGCAAGCAGTGATCCAAACAGCATATCAAGACCTTGAATTCCTGCTATCCCAGCACTTGAGGAGTCTCCTCCTTCCTTTCACAGAATCTAGGGAGTTTCTAGTCATTTACTCAGGGTCTTTCCATGATCATGCCTGACGATGGTTTACAAACTCCTCCACCTCTGACTTTGAGATCATAGTTATACGGATGCCATGCCCTCCTTGGACCTGATATGAGATCAGAACAACCCAATATATATATATTCAAACTCCAGGGTAAGGGTGACTTTATGCAAGAAAATACTGGGTGCTCTTTAGAGAGAGAATAGTACTGCGAGGGGGGGCGGGGGCAGTGGCAAAAGCCGTATATGTCTACCAGAATGATTTCTTCTCATTCTGAGTACAGGAGACCCCGAGCCAAGGTCCCTGCCTGCCTTCAACAATTTCAGTTCTGGGAAAGGACAGACCTTCCATTCTCCCTCCAACTCCGGCTGTTATTTTCCAATACCCAGCATAATTTATTCTTTTTCAGCTGCCACATATGAATTGAGAATCACTGTCAACACATCTCTGAATGTCCTGCCTACATCTCTAGCCATTGTCCCTCTGTGTTTGGCAGCTGTCCACTCTTCTTCAGTATATACTGACTTAGCAGTGCTATTCTGAGTGTAAGAAGGCTTTTCCAGGTTGCTTTCCTTTCTAGCAATGTTCTGAGTTCCTTCCAACGTCTGTGTTTTCCAAGATGCAATGCATTCTGTTTCTCTGCAGTTGGGGAGTTCCCTCTAGCCAAGAATTACATTTTGTTAAATCGTCCCTTCCAAATGTTTTCTCTACAACCACTGTAATGAACTGACAGATGGGTGTCTGATCTTCAGAAAGTATAATGAAGATTTATTTTCTAAACTGTTAGGACAAGCCAAGGTTATCATACAAAAAACTGAACACTGCAAATTATGCTCAATTTAAACCAAAAGTGGCAATTTCATTGGCTATGGCTTTTCCCGCTGAATCATGTTGATAATATAGATGCATTTGTACACCCAGAGCTTAGATCATCGTGTTGATTGCCTTGGTGATAGACGCTAATTTTTGAGAGGACTGGAACTTCCATGGATTCCCTCAATCTTGTCATACTCAGGATAACATTTTACACATGTTAATTCAGCAGGGGCAATGGTTCCGGTGTTTGGTTACCCTGTGTCCTTCAGAAAGGAACAACTTGGGTATCTTATCTGGGAAATATGAAGAACAATCCCCAGACCTGCAAGATCATCAACGCACAGTGACTAAACATAGGTTCACTTTGTGTCTGTCCATGGACAACGAACCTCTAGAAATATAAATATTGCTAAGAGATATCATATTAAGATGAACAAATGCATCTACCCCAAGAATCTCCCAATTTTCTGGAGTCCAACATAACCTATTAGCCTCACTGGTACTTGAACACTGAGCTACCTGACTTTCTAGAGTACTCCATTCTCTTACTCACAATGCAGCTCCCTCCCCCGTTCTTCTGCTAAAGGATTGTTGCTTAGGAGTTTTCTCACAGGTTCAAAGCAGCCGTATTCCTATAGATTGCCTCTCTCTCTCTCTCTTTTGAAACAGTAAAGGAAAATATAATGCAAATTAATACCACAAAATAATTGGCCTCTCTCCATCTGAAATCTACACAGAGGCTGCGGTGCCACTGCTCAGTGGCCAACAATTCACACTGAACGCTCTGGTGGATGAATTGGCTCTATACCCAGAGAGAACAGTGCAAGCAAACCATAAAAAAATAAAATGTACTAAACCACCAACTGACATTATGGAAATAAGACACTGGCTGGCCAAAAACCACAGTGTATCAATTAGCAGGATCTTAGTATTTGGCAGAGAGAACTCTGGGTTCTGGGAACAGAATGCTGCATGTTTTATGCAGTCATATAACATCTCCCTTGTATTCAAAGAAGGCAAACACCTGCAGGACATCCTGGGAAGGCTGAGATTACGGTGTTAAAGTTTGCATCAACTCAGTCTGACGCTTCCATCAATTAAGCTTGGTTGACACAATGACTGCTATAATCACCTAATGGGTTGGTCCTTTTGCTTTTCTCTCCATAGCTCCCTGTAGAAATTTCAAGGACATAACTTTCTTTTTTTTTCCCATCTGGTGGAAGGGGAGATATAGGACATCGTGACTGCCTGATAATTTCAAACAAGACTTCACATGATGGCTGAATCTTGGCGGGGGTCCCGAAGGCAGAGGGCATATGTAGGCAAAAGCTGTTGTATCTGTCGGCACTGTCGCAGCTGAGAGGGGCAGGGAGAGAAGTTCCCACTGATCAGATTCACAGGGGCCTGGTCTTGTGGAAGACTGGAAACTATGTGGTCTTGGCTCAGACTGACTAGGATCAGAACTCTGCCTTGGCATTCATTGGTTTGTTGACTTTGGGAACAAGCCTTTCCTTTCTTAATTTCAGTTTCTTCTTCCAGAAAATGGGGACATTGGGTCCCTAATGAGATTACTGTGAGAATGAAGAATAATAGATGTAAGTTACCTAGCCTCCTCCATGGCCTACTGTGGTGTTGGTGTCGGGGTAGAGTAGTGTTCACTTAGCGGTAGTGGTAAACTTGAAGGGATGCCAGTGGCTGGTTGTCTGCCCAGGCAGGTAACATTATACCCCAGTTCGGTGTTTGTGTCCATAAATTCAGAATAGAGGTTTCTGGCTACCCTTCAGGGGGTACATTACAATGGTAGCATTGTAATCCACCCCCCAAAGGCATCTCCACCAACCTGCTGTGATAGACCCAGATTCCCTGTAATCCTATATTCCTAACTTATTTGACACATAACAACAAAAAAAATTCCTCCTTATTCCATACTGGGCATGGCATCTGACCTATGGCAATCAAGCACTTACAGAAAAAAAAAAAACATCAAGTTTTCTTCTTCTAAACAGAAATATGTTAAAATCTGGAACAGATGTTGGGTACAGCTTTGATCCAACTTTAAAAGTCTTGGGCCAGTGTCCCTAGAGTGACCTTCAGCAATCAGCCAAACTGCTAATTATAAGCTTACCCTGATGCCAGGACTCCAGTCTTGGTTCCGCATCCTCACAGTCTGGTGTTAGTGGAAGTCCCTTCCAACACCTCGAGGGCTCATCTTCTGATGTCAGTACCACAACCAAGCGCTGATGAGAAAGGGAAATTAATAACCCAAACAGTAACTATTACAACAAACATAGCACTATCTTTGCATCAACAAGGGAGAAGGTTTGATGTTAGTCTAAGGCACAATTAGTTTCCCCTCGACCACTTTGGAAAGATACAAATCTTACGTGTGGCTTTTGGAAAGTTACTGGATCTTCCTGAGCCTCAGTTGCTTTGTAGCAGAATGGACACAACACTCCTGTTTTTTTTCTTATTACTACAAAATTAAATAGGATGATGTATGTAAGATACTTAGCGTAGTACCTGTACCTTTGTAGAACAAGTGTGGTAATCAATAAATAAATATTGGGGGCACCCAGGTGGCTCACTGGTTGACCATCTCTGCCTTTGGGTCAGGGCGTGACCCCGGGGTCCCAGGATCTAGTCCCACATCGGCCTCCCCACAGGGATCCTGTTTCTCCCTCTGCCTGTGTCTCTGCCCTTCTCTCTGTGTCTCTCATGAATAAATAAAAATAAAATTAAAAAAAAAACAAATATTGGTCTTTTCCTCTTCCTTCAGTTTCAAGGGCGTGCTTTAATGGCACTGGCTCCAACCTCTGAGGGATACCGTGTGCAGTTCCCCAGGTATATAGACACAGACTCTCTCTCCTAAGTGACTGGGCCACTGTGCAGGCACAGACCTGCCCATTTGCCCTTATTAGTATGTTTCAGGGAACAGGAATAAGGCTGAAAGTAGAGATTGGGATGTTTTTTCACCCAATCAGCAGTGTTAGTTGATGATAACTTCTTCGACCTGGCTTTGGTAAGAGTTTAAGAAATGTATTTTTTGTAACCAACAAAAACATTCTACATCCTCAAAGGTAAGAAATGGAGAAGGTGGGAGAAGGAAATGTAATATAAGTTGTAAATCTAAGAAGTTAATCTATCAGATTCAACGTCAACTTTGCTGACATTCCAGTTGGTGCTTCTGCCCAACTGCAAACCACCCTCGCGCTCCCTTTTGTGGTATTTTTCTACTGGTGTTGTAACACACTGCCCCAAATTTAGCTGCTCGTACAACACAAACAGCGTCTTACAGTTCTGCAGGTTGGAAGCCTAACACAGTTCTCACTGGGCTGGAGTAGAGGTGTTGACAGGAAGGAGTTAGTTTCTGGAGGTGCCAGGGAAGCATCCATTTTCTTTCTTATCCAGGTTGTTGGCAGAATTAAGTATGTGCTTTGCTCTTGTGGGATCCAGGCCCTGGTTCCTGCTGGCTGGAAATGGCGGACCATTCTCAGCCTCTAGAAGCCACTGCCTTCTTGGGCTTGTGGCCCAGTTCCTCCGTCTCAGAATGCATCACGTCCCTCTCACATTGCAACTGTCTGACTCCCCCTTCTTTCTCCCTCCTCTTCCACTTTCAAGTGCTCACGACTTGAGATTTGGCCCGCCCGGATAATCTGAGGTAATCTCCCCATCTCAAGGTTTTTACCTTAATCACAACTACAAAGTCCCTCTGCCATTTAAGGGGACATATTCACAGGGTCCAGGGATTAGGATGTGGATGGCTTC